TTTTTTTTCAAGATAATCCTTCTAATAATGATAGTTTTAACCAATATACTTAATTAGCAAAGATATTTTAGGAATGACAACACTTATTTATTATAAATAACCAATTTAACTTACTTCCTTAATCTCCTCAAATAAGTCAATTGGGTCTTATAATTAGGACCGGAGGAGTATAAGTTACTCTCCGGTCCTTATTATAAGACCCTATTTGACTTTTTATTTGGTCCTAATTATAAGACCCCAATCCATTTTGTCTCTTATATTTATGCATTTTTTTCCAAGATAATCATTCTAATAATGATAGTTTTAGCCAATATACTTAATTAGCAAGGATATTTTAGGAATGACAACACTTATTTATTATAAATAACCAACTTAACTTACTTCCTTAATCTCCTCAAATAAGTCAATTGGGTCTTATAATTAGGACCGGAGGAGTATATAATTAATTTGCACTTGATATTAATAAAATTAATTAAGTTAGTTATTTATAACAAATATATATTAATTTTCTTAGAATAATTTTTTTTAATAATGTGTATTGTAACTATCTCTTGATGGAATCCTCTAACTATGTACAACATAAATACATATAGGGATATTTGGAAAAAAAATTATAAATTTTAAAAACAAAGTAAATTAAAATCTTATATTTAGGATGAAATCAAATTTCTTATCACACTCTTATATTTAATGTAGAAGGTCATAAAAAGAATTGGCAGTGGATGAAGATCCCTGTAAATTGGGAAGCCCTCTCTTTTGTAGCAGGTGAAGAACCTCGCCGTCTCTGAATTTCAACATTAACTTTCACCAGAAATTAGAAATGTTTAAATTTTTTCTTTAAAAAAAAGGTGCGGAGTATGCAAAATATTTTTTGAAAAAACAAAATGAATAAACGAGAGAGGGAGAGGGCAAGAGAGATCTTCATTAAAACAAATAAAATCTTGTATATAGGACTGGGTTATTTATACTTTATATTTTCAATTGTTATGTTTGATTTAACTATTAAAATTATTTTTATCATGCATCTTACAGTTACATCCCTTTAAAAGAAACAAAACTATATGGATGCATAGATGTAGGAGATACAGTTCAAATTATTACACCTTTTTTTTTTTACCAAAATTATTACACCATCGAACTAATTAAATGCTTTATAAATATAATCACTAAGTTATTTCACTTTAAGAGTGACACTGGACCAAGTGGCAGTGCCGGTAATGAAACGCATATTATTGGCGAAAAAAAGGACATTCTGGAAAATTAAGTTATTAAACTTTTCACATAATACAAATAAATTACATTATATTATGCATTGTGTTTTTTTTTTTTTTTGGGAAAGACACTGATCAAGTGAGTATTACAAATTTAATATAAAAAAGATTAAGATATTACAAATTAACTCATACATTTAGGAGTAAAGGGAATGTTTTAATTGTCAAAAAAGTACTCCTCCGGTTCTTAATATAGGATCCAATTCTTGAGGTAGTTTTGGTCCTAAATATAAGACCAATTTCTCATATTTATCAATTTTCTCTAAATTATTCCCATGGATATTCCCTCAACCATAATCAAGTAGAAGAGAGAGAGTAGGTATTAAGAAAGATGATTATGGTGTTTTAGAAAAAATATGTCACTTTTCTTATAATTAACTAATTTACCTAACTTCTTTAATCTAATCAAATTAGTTAAATGAATCTTATATTAAGTATCAGAGGAGTATGATGTTAGGATCTAAAAAAAAAGAAAGAAAGGAAAAACAGTGGGAACAATTTTCTATGGGGTTGTTGATGGTCAATTATGAGAAGCGAACTGAAAACGCCGTTTGTTAAGCACATTACATCAAGATTGACCATTGAATTAATGGTCTGAGACAGTCTTGTAGAAGCAGTTGACTGAGGAATCAGAACCCTACCAGTAATTCCCATCCAAAAGCTCATTTGCGTTTTTAGTGAGAATTGAATTGATTGTTAGGCTCCACGTCCTTTTTATGGATTCATCCCTGATTCCCGTTCATGCACCACTGACACCAATTGAATGTAAATAATCTGACATCAAGGAATAAAACAATACTAACTTTGATACTTAATATAAAACCTAGATAATAATTTTTTTTGATTTTAAAGATGAGATCTTAATTCATTTTGTCTTTTAAATTTGTAATTTTTTTCTCCAAAATAATATTTACGACGATTGCAGATATAAGTTTCCATTAAAAGACAATTCAAATACATATAATTAATAAATGTATTTCACAAATTAGTTATCTAGTTTTTTTTTTTGGTTAGGCACAGGTATCTTCTTATTGGAACAATCTTATTTGAAGTTTTTTCAGGGAATAAATATGGGCACTTTTTTTAATAGGGATTTGAACCTTAGTTTATCATATTGTGAAAGACTAGTTCCTTCTACTAGACCCTACTCATTTGCTAGTTACCTGGCTGTTATATTAAATATTAGAGGTAGCAATCTCAAGCATGGATCTACATTTATCTTGTATTAACTAAAATCTTTCGTAGTATGGTTTAAATGAAGAAGAGAAGGGGAGAGATACAATATTCTTGTACTTTCTAATGTACCAAGAAGCTAGCAGGATAAAATGGCTAAGATGAAAAAGTCTGGGCCAGAATTATGAATGCTGCAGGGGGCTCAAAATCGATTGAATAGTTTGCTCCTAATAATAAAAAGTGGAACAATTAAAACAACCCTTTTTTTTGGGTGAAGACAAGGTAGTTTGTACCTTAAATGTGAAATATAATTCACAAGAAAAAAAAATGTATTCAGTATTATAATCAAACAAAAGCTCCATAGTTAGTCAAGGAGTTGTAAGATAACAAGGCAACATCAGCCCCTATAGCCAACCCTGAAGTCACCTTGCTTGCTTACATGTCTAAGCATATAAAGCAGCGTTTGGTACAATGTATTAAAACATAGTTTTTTTTTTTTATCAGCAAAAACAAGCTATACAACTTTTTCAGTTGAAAATAGCTTGTGGGAGTTGATTTTGCAAATTCATCAAAATTAAGTTATAGCTCAACATGTAAGGAATATTTGTAAATATCTTGATAGTCCTCACGTAATCAACTTATATAATATTATAAAATTTATTATATTTTGTTACTTAACTGTGGTTGTTTGTTTTATTTATATGTATAAAGTGTTTTTAAATCAATTTTTCATATTATTATATTATGGTCTGCGCATTGCAATAGTCTCTAAAATGAGATGCAACAGGATGCCAAATCATTAAGCGTCACAATCAACACAGTCCCTTTTCAGCAGCCAATATAAACTACAATAATTAGTGCATCAGTTGATTCTTGGAAATTCAAGATCTATATCTACAATAATTAAGAGATCCAATCTTAAATCACCACTAAATTTAGAGTTTCTCTTACTCTTCTATTTCCTTTATTTTGTTTTTTTTATTGGTCATGCGATGTTGTGAATGGGAATTCTAATTACAGTGGGAACAAAAAAGCTTGATTAGATGCAACTCTTGTTTTTTTTTCATGACACAAAATACTAGGCCTATTGGGCTGGCCATGAGGACATAGATACCATGGGCTGATTCGGGTTCAATAGGATCGTTGTTCACTCCTTCTTGTTCCTCGTAGAAAAGAAAAGATATCAACAAGAATTAGGTCTAGCGAAAAGGACTAATCCCTTATAACATAATGAACTAAGATTCAAATTTCTGCTTAGAGAGGTACCCAAATTTAGGATCTCAACTCTTCAAACCAAGACTCCTAAACCTGAGTTCAGATTGTCTTCAGTTCAATTTTTTTTTTTTTTAAGTAGACCTAGTTTGTGTAAAGAGAACGAGAGAAGCTACCCACCATAAACACGAGACACAGATCCATGTAACGTAAAACTCCACATATCTGAAATAACTTCAACTCGCCTCAGTACCCTTTTAAGTCCCAGCATTTCTAATTTTCTACAGGACGGCTATCAAATTACTATATGCATGGACGTCAATGGAAAGCTAGGAAATTGGGTTGTCTCTCAATTTTCTCTTCTTTGATTTCTTTCCTTTTTTTTTAATGTAGAGAGAGAACCTAAGAAGAAAACAGGAAGTGTATGGAACATCACAGCAAGAAATGGAAAAGACAAGAATAATATGAGTTTTGAAAAATGTGCTTTTGAATGGATACACATAGGGCTAGTAATACGGGCCAACCCTTGGGTTGTGGGTTGGCCCGTGGTGAGCTACGGTTTACTCAGTGCGAGTTTAGAAAGCCTGTTTATTAGCGGAGCACCAACCCGCCAGAATGCTTCTTTTTTTTTTTTTTTTTAAATGTTAGCTGTTATATATAATCAAAAATAAAACACTAGAAATGATATAAAATATTACAAACATTCAAATAAAAATTATAACACTAAAATACAAATATTACATGATTGTCCAATTTCCCAATATGATAATACACAAGTTCATACATTTTTTTCAATAAAACCAACAAGTAACATGAATAACCTTTATCTAATTATTTCTAATATCAATAAAGTGAAAGCCTACCTTACTTTTGCATTTATTATTTATTTTTTTAACCAAAAAAAATAGGTGGGTTGGCCTACACAGCTTATGGTGGTGTAGGTTATATTTTTTGAAGTAGTAGTGGATTAGCCTCTAACCTGTCATTTTTTGCAGGTTGAACCTAGTTGGACCCGCAAGTCCAACCCATATTACCAACCCTAGATACAGGCCGGCTAAACCTCTAAAATGGGACCAACCAAGAAAGTCCTTTACCCTTCCTCCAACAAATTTGAAATAGTATTTAGATTGAGTTACACATTAACAATGCGTGCAATTGTCTTGATCATCAATGAGACGTGCAGAAAACTGCATCCTGTAAATCAGAAAAGTCAATAAATAGTAGTCCGGGAATAGGAGGTCAGAAGAACAAGCTGTGAATAGGATGTCAGAATAAGAAGTTGTGAACAACCAACTAGTTTCGCCGTCAATATACTTAGATTAATAATTGAGAAAGCACTGATAATTGCATTTAAAAGATCAAACTCGTACATTACTTGTTGCATGGGTCAACTAATCTAAAGAAACACCCCTAACTCTGATTACAGTGCCATCTATCTCCTAGGGCATCATCTTATTATACAATAATAATATACACAATGAGATGATTTTACATAGGTGAAACGAACCCAACGCTTCCTTTCCAAATAGCCAAACCAGAAATAAAACTCTGGTAATGTCAAATCTAGAGCCAGTCATGGTGATTCCAACCATGAAAAAATACCTGCAACTATGTATGTGTATGTATAACGCCACTTTATGTACATATCCATATAACTTCACGATTCACCAATCAAAAGATCTGCTAACTAACAAAATTGGGTCAAAGCCTCCAAGAAGCCACGCATTCAAGTGGGTGACTCCGCCAGAAGAAGAGTATGCCACCAGCCACATGCAACATTTTTAGGTACACACCCTTCGATGGTGACTTGAGAAGGAATGTTACGGTCAATCACATCGCCAAGGCCAAGCTGCCACACCAAAAACAAGTAAATAAAAAGATTACAACACTAGAGAACGTCACAGCACAAGGAGAATGCCGGCAGCATACAACTATTTATCAGTTAAAGTGCGTATTTAGGCAAATAAAAAGCATACATATTCATCACTCAGAAGATTGTCAAAGCATGATGTAAGTACCTGTCCGTACTTGTTCCATCCCCAGCAAAATACTTTCCCTTCCTCTTGAAGACACCAAAAAGAAACAAGGTCAATGGATAAGAATGAATAAAAAATTGAAATTAGAATCAGAATATTTTTTATTGCCAACAAAATCTACATCCAAAGATCACTGCTAAACCAATCCTGCCGTTAGAGATGACTACAACAAAAAGTAAAGACAACATTTAATAGTCTGAAATTATGCTGTTGCTCATCATCTGTACGCTTCATTGTTGTTGATTAGTTTCTCATTAAACGAGGCTAGTCATCAAAGGCCAAATTATGGCATAGTAGAAGACAACATTTGCAATCCAAGCCAACCCTCATCAACAACCATTGGTTTGATTTACATCCATGCCATTGTGTGCTTTCCAAGATAAAAGATACATTCACCTTGAAGCCATTCCACTTAGTTTTATTGTGAACAATTAAGTCAAGTAAACTTTGAGGACAATGACCAGACACAAATTTTAAATGAACAAACGGAAAATAATGTGTTTAGTACTTGAAGCTATCAGTGCTTTTTCTATATTGTTATTTTGGAAAAATGAGTGGGCTTTAGAGAGAACCTGAACGGAAAAAATCTAACAGGTACTTTAGTCTAAAAATAACTCAAAAGTTTGATAAACTGACTTCAACGGTGGAAGGCTAGCTCTCCTAATCAATGCGGTCTGAGCATCATGTAGGATATACCTGTTACCACCGCGGTATGGCGAGCCCCAGAGGATACGGTCTTTGCATGCTGATTTTCCAAGCTCGGAGAATCCAGTAGCCTCGGTATAGTCTGCTTCAAAATTCATCATAACACTTGAAACATTTAGCAGAGTGTCTCAGAAATAGTTTGAGAACTCAACATGCATCATGAAGCTTAGTTATAGAAATTACAATTAAAATTTTATATAAGTACAAAGAGTGAGACTTTTTCTTTGTTAAATTAGAAAAGTAGAACCCGTATCATCCTTTTCTAGTGGTGCATAGAGCATTAAAACCTACACCGGCAGCAACAAATATAAATCCAGCATTATTTTTTTTCATGAGCAGCAGCCGTACATCTATGGGATGAACCTAAAGTAAAGCATACCTCAGCTTGATCATCACCAGTTCCCAACTGGCCAAACTGATTTCCACCAAAGGCATACACATCACCATCAGCAGATACACAGACTGTATGCCACAGCCCTGCAGCGACTCCCTCTATTCGGATACCCAACAAGGAAGATACGCATGTTGGGCTTAGCTCATCATCTGTGCTTCCTTGCCCACACTTAACAAAAACAAAAGGAAATTAACTGAGTATAAAAGGCATAAGTATTCCTAAAGGCAAAGTACGATAGATTTTATTTACAATAAGAAAAGTAGGATAAATATTGTAAAGGAATAGAACAAATTATCCCTTGCTAGAGTGGACCTCATCTTCAACATCTACATTGCTTTTTGTCCACGATTTTCTACTTTACCTACATGTTGATCCTAAACAATGGTTAACAACTGAGCAAGTCCAAGCAGTGTTGCAGATGAGTATATGTCAACATGGTGCAATTCATTTTGATTGCTATGCAAAGGAAAATTTATGGGATTACGTAACAATGACTGTCATGATCCTGGAGAAATCAGTGTACAATTTAAATACCATATCACTTCATATTTCTCACAGCATTAGCATGCAACATAAACAATGAGATGTCAGTGACATGCAAACTGAAACAATTCTGACACAATTAAGGTCCTTATCACGGAAGGTCACCATTATACCAACCAAGATCTAGCAAAGAAGATCATAAAATAACTAGAAAAGGGCCATAGTTACTTCAAATGAAAAATAAAGTACAATCTTCAAAAGACCTGGTAAATGTAAGGTTTAATTCAGCAGTTAATATAGGTCCTTATAGGGGAAAAAAGCATTATTCTTGTCAAAACTCAATAAAAGTTCCTTTAAGTAAAACAATCTCTTAGAAAAAAAATCTTGGCAAATATTATGTTCAAAAATAAAAAAATTGCAGTGGAAAAGACTTTAAAAACATATTTTTTTCCCAAACAATCTCTCTCCTCTATTTGAAAATCTTTTTAGTATGCTTACAATTGTTAACACTTTCTAGATAACAAAGCCCTCCCTATCATCAGATGAAAGGGGCAGAAACAAAGCACTAGGAGAATCACAGATAAACCTTCTCAAACGACTGAATCATAATAGACCAACAAAGGTGCAGGACTGTTAACCTCATAAGCTAACGGAATTAAAAGAGGGCTAAATTTTATACATTAAAGACACGATTTTCTTATAAATGATTCAACAAAGCACATGAATCTATACCCTCCAACAAAACAGTGCTCTGCAGAGGTGAAGGGAACTTCTTATTTTGCCCCTGCTTCAAATCAAAAAATTTGTAGGGACACCAAAACTAAAAATTGCAAATATGCTGATGACAGATAGGTTGAAAGAACTCGGTGAATTTCATTAACAGAGCAGGATATGCGCCCTGAGCAATGCAAAAATGTCCTTTGATATCCCCAGATTACCTGTCCATATAGTCCCCAACCGAAAGTCAGCAAAGCTCCAGCATCTGTCAGGCCACCACAAATACGTTAAAACATCAGCATGTATAAAAGTGACTGTATAGAAGAAAACAGAATAATTTTAAAACACAAAGTAGCTGGCCCTGTTTGTAAATTGTAACCATTTGAATCTCAATATAGAATTCAGAAGAAAAAAATTTAATTCTTCACAATTATAAGGACTTTTAACTGGGAGATTCCCTTCAAAATAAAAAAGACACGCTCATTCACACAAACAATTCGTGGGCCAATCATTCCATGTTACACGGAATCAGTTTTCACTCTACATAACCTTATGTAAAACGCCTTAATACCTTCTAGATAAATTTCTTCCTCAACTAAGGATGCTTAATATTATCATTTTTAGTTCTTTGAAGTAACTAAAATACAATTATCCAGAAAAGATTTCCAGTTTTGGAATAACTTATAGAACACACATATGCACCTGTGATAACTGCACTGTGCCGACCTCCACAAGCAATTCCCTTCACGTAATTCCCAGGAACTCTAAAATTCTGTCCCCCAGAATTCATGCTTCCTTGAGCAAGAGCAACAAATCTATCTTTTCCATATGTAGAAGAATTAATGCAAGGGACAAGATGAGGAGAGGACACCATTCGTATTCTGGAGCCTAAGCCAAGCTGCCCTTCTCCTCCATAGCCCCAACCCCACACCTGTCCTATATCTGAAACTTTCAGAAAATTAGAATGAATGACATACTTTGCACCTCATTGCTGATCCACCACATGATTAAGCACCATACTTGAAACAAACATTGATCACAGCATAACAATTGGGAAAATAACATAGATCAAATCTTTGTCTTAAGTTTATCAATAGCCTGGAACAAAGTATCACCTGACAATGCTAAGGTATGACGTCCACCAGCAGCAACAGTTGTTATTCTTATACCCGGATTTAGTGCAACAAGACATGGAAATGCTGTCAGAGTATCATCCCCAGATGTTGAGCTTTCAGCAGTTTGCTTTGCTGAAGAAACTCTCCTTCGCTTTGTACCTTCATCTCCACTAGCGCTGGAAGCAGTTCCTCCAGTCGATCTTGAGCCTTGTGAGCGAGGGCTCACTGTAGTAGAAATGTTTTGGATCAGTTAGCACTGATAAAGGAAATTATTCTATCTTGTTTATCATAAAGAGGCCAAATAATTCTTTCTATCCTTCTTTGTTCGTCTTGATTAAATTGACCACTTTCTTAGAATGACAGTAGCTATAGGCCAATTGCTGTTGTAATTGGTCAACCATACCTTGCTCCGTCAATAATGAACTCTGCTTTTCCGATATATCTTTTTCAGGACTTGCCCCAGTTGATGATTCGCCAAATACCTTCCCAGATGGAACACATTCCTTCCATCCCCATGTGTAAACTTCACCGCCATCTGCAAAGGAACAGCAAAAGATACTTGTAAGAAGACACAAAGTGGAAAAGTTAACTTATTGTTACAATGTCTATAGCCTAGTTGAAAGATTATTTCTTGTATCCACCTTGGATGAATTTGCCAATAAAAAATAAACGCAAGGAATACTTGAAAGCCTGCAGATATTTTAAGGATAGGTTCATTCTCGTAGTTTGGACCTTCCTTTCAGTGTCATCACATTTTAATATTCTTTTCTTTCTTTTTACCCCATTAAAAAAAGTTACCAAGTCAATCTTACCAGCAACAGCAACACAATGTGCCCATCCAGCTGCAGCCTTTATGATAGAAGCCTCAGTTGGAATAGGGAAAGGCTCAGGAATTTCCTTTACCATTTAAAGTAGAAAATGTCATTTAGCTAATAAGGAATCAAAAGGGGAAAACAGTATCAAGATATATGATTAGCATTACCCCGTGCTTGCCAGATGTCACATAGCTTTGACCTAGATCATCAGTTGATCCCCATGTAATAAGCTTTCCTGACTCTGCTAGATGAAAAACGTATAAGCAATATATAAATCATTTATGTAAATAAAACCTACAAAGAAATATCTAGTACAGAAATATTGAGGAGGAATAGAAAGGCACATGACCACGACGTTGCAATGAAGAGAAAGGAAAAAGACACTAGCGGAAGCAAATTACAAAAATTAAAATACAAGCCCCCATCACACTGATGTCGGTCCCTTCTTCAAGATAATAAATGTAATGGAATAGTAGAACAGAAATATCTAGCTGCAAATCATTGTTTGCAATCAATCCGCCCAATGTTATGTAGTCCAACGGAAAATTTAACTACACAATAATGGCATTACTCTCAATGGGAGTGAGGAACGAGAAATTGATAACGTTTAGTAAAACTAGCTCGAAGCTGCAGTGGAAGTGTCAAAATAAATGCAGGAAGCCTCCTAATTTCATCTGCTTGGATTTAACCAGCCAGACATGGGAATGACACTAGGCAGAGGAGAAAGGAAAAACGGGGGGAAATGAAACCCGTGCAAGAACAAGTTAAGTTCAGAACAAATGAATCAATCGGACAAAATTTTATTGCTCTCCAGAGAGACATTGATTTCTGCTAAGGAAAAAAAAACTTTGGTGCCCCGAAAACAAAAACGTGACTCTACTGAGTTCGGACAATGACATCACAGTGAAGCTTGGGTAGCTACTTTCTTTGAAGACTTGCATTTAGAGAATGCAAAATTCGAACTTGGGAGTTCTCATTTCAAACCAGGACATTTTCAGGCAACAAAACACAGAGGCAAATGATGAAACAGCACAGTCTTTCAAAACGAAAACTGAAAGTAAAAGGGGCGAAAAACCAAAAACAAAAAGAAAGGAAAACAGAGAAAGCAGTCGAAGAGACAGCGCAGCAGACCAGAGATAGCCATCGCGAAGCCACAGCCACCACCGCAAACATCCTTCCAGGAGTAACCAGCAGAACCAACCGAAGCCGGCACCCTAACAGGCACCGGCGTCAAGAGCGGCGACCTCTGCGGCAGAGCTCCAGGTAGGTAACCCCACATGTAGACCTTGAATCCTTGCAATGCCGCCGCGTCACCTCCTAGTCCATCTCCGTCGCCATTCATTGCGAATTTGGGGCAGAAATATAACGAATTAAAACAAAAAGAATTCACAAATAAAAGCAAGACACAAAGTCAAAGGTTTAGGCGAGGCTTAGTAGTGTTTCTGGCAGTTTCTATTCTAGGGAAGAGGGAGGGGTTAAATCGGGGGCGAGCATGGGGGGACTAAGCGAGTTAACGGAAAGTGCCCTAATTAATGTTTGCCGGTGCACAAAAGAGAAGCGTATAATTTTCAGCAGAATGGGGAGGCCACGTCGGATGATCACGTGGTTAGGTGCACACGTGGCGCAATGACGGCCCCTAGATGCCTCGGCCATTTCTGGCCAGGAGTTTGGCGGAAACTTCTGGAAGCCTCACCCTCTTCACAGAACTGTCGTGGCCGATTTGGTATCCCGCCTCGTGGGAGCCCTGCACGCCAACTCCAATCATTATGTGTTACCACGTGGCCACACATTTCCGGGGTCCCGCCAGACAGTAACACGTCATCACTCTGCCCATTTACTGTTCTCAAGTAATTAGTTATTTAGTTACTGGTACCCGGTAGTTTGAGTGAAACTAAGCTATTTTTTTAAAAGAAATTTAACCAAATTAATTAAATTAATTATTTATCACATGTGTGTACATTTGGTGAAAATCCTTACAATTAATAGGAATATTTTGAGAAAAGATTAAAAAAAAGTATATTAAGATACTACCTACGGTTAACGGTCCTTAATATAAGACCTTATTTAATTTTTATTTTGATTCTAAATATAAGACCTCAATTCACTTTGTCTCTCATATTTATATATTTTTTTTTCAAGGTAGTCCTCCTAGCAATAGTAGTTATAGCTAATACACTTAATTAGTAAGGATATTTAAGAAAAGGCAACACATATTTATTAAAAATAACTAACTTAATTTCTTTCTTTAATCTCCTCAAATTAGTCAACTAGCTCTTATATAATTAGGACAGGAGGTGGTATTATATTTAAGATCTAATCCAACTTTCAACTGGCTCTTATATTACGGATTAGATATGAGATATTTTCTTTTATAGCTAACTATACAGTGAAAAATAAATACTACTAGTAAACATGACGAAAAGATGGGAGTAACATTTAGGCGGTTTCTTGAAGTAGCATGATTTGTGGACCTCTAGTATAATTGGGAATTTCTGGTAACTTTTATGAGCCAATTTTGTTTTGTTATTACAAATGTGTGTGTGTTGAGCAGCTTGAAGCATATACCACGTGAACTATGGCATTCTATTTCCTTATTTTTCTCCTTTTTTATTGATTATTATAAATTGCTTTACGACCAATTATTTCGCACGCATGCTTGTGAGTGGTGACACTAGGTTTTGCCATCTTTTTCTGGTTAACAAGTCATCAATGCAAGCCACCAGATCGTTAACCAAAGTCCGATTCTGCCCTGTTTCACAGATTTTGTGATTGCTGCCTCCAAGATCTTTCATATTTAAGACAAAACTATTTATAACGCTACCCGTTGCCCCAATTGATCATTCACTAAATTAATATCAAAACATTACTTCCCGATTCTTATATAATTTAGTTTGTAGTGTAATTTATATTATAATTAAATTTTATACTAAGAATTAGAGGTAATACTTTCAGTCTTATTTATAAATCATTTCTCGTGTATTTAATCACAATCAATAAAAACTTTAAATCTTATTAACTTCAACTTGAAATTTTTTAATTTTATCTTGATTTAATATATACTACTTCCGGTCCTTAATATAAGACCTTATTTGACTTTATTTTGGTCCTAAATATAAAACCCCAATTTATTTTGTCTCTCATATTTATATATATTTTTTAAAATAACCCTTCTAATAATGATAATTCTAATCAACACACTTAATTGGCATGGATATTTTAGGAAAGACAACACCTATTTATTACAAATAACTAACTTAACTTCTTTCTTAATTTTCTCAAATTAGTCAATTAGCTCTTATAATTAGGACCAGAGGTAGCATATTCTAAAAGAATAACAGTTGATATTATAATAAACAAAGTACATTTTCCAAAGAAATTTAGTGATACAACTTATAATGAGCGCAGTACACACATCATTGATAACATGGAATAGTAAAACTTACCATGCATGTCTTTTGAACTTATCATGTTTAAACAATTTTAATACCATTCAAACGTAATGCTTAATGTCCCCATTAAATTTGAACGGAGTGAGATATCTTTTTTTTAAATTAAACAAGTAAACACTAGCTGTCTCGCGTATGTTAGAAAGTTTTCATGCTATGAAGTTACTGGGCCACAGATTTAACAATTCTAATATTCTTTTTCAGATTTAGACACAAAAACATGATCAGGTGTGACCAAAAAAATAGGGTCAGGTGATAGAAGGAGAACAGAATGAAGGTCACAAAAAGAGTATATACCAAGTGATTGTGAAAACAGAGGGACGTGTGTGGTGGGTTGCCGTCCAGCCACAGACAACACATATTTGATATTCAATGGAATTTAGTTGCTGTCTAATCATTTTCCATTTCTATCACTTTCTCTCAGTTCTTTTAATCACCAACCTCCCCCGTCAATTTATATCACTGTTACGTAAGTGCTTCTTCAATTCTGTATATTATTATTAGCCCTTAATTTAATTACATAAATAAATTAAAAATAGGCAGAAATTTATAGAAACCCTGCTTATGCCTGTTCCTTCTTTTGTTGATTCTTTATTTTTTCTCATTTTCGTTTAATTTATTATCTTTATATTATGTCATTAATCTTTTATATAAGGTTTTAAATGGTTATATTACAAGTGTGCGAGAAAAAAATTAAAATGGTTATGCATATACATATTTTACTTTAAATTGACTTTAAATTTAGATATATATTAAAGAAATAAATTATACTATCTTCGGTCCTAATTATAAATTATGCTTATAAACAAGGTCTTATAATTAGAACCGAAGGTAATATATCAAATTGAACATTTGGAAAACGTTCAACTAATTGCTCAAAAGTCAAAACTTATTTATCTTTTTTTTTTAATTAATTTTTTTCTAGTTTATCTGTTGTCCATTAAAGCAGCTTTAGTGGACCAGTAGAGAGTTATGATTGTTGATAATTGAATGAAAAATGAATTCGCCCCAACAAAAATATAGTTTTGGAGGCTTTAATTATGCGACTGTCACCATTCACTAACTTCTAACTAGCCTCATGTATAAGAGTGACATTCTATTATGTGAGTGGTACAGTGTGTACTTTCCCAACTCAAACAAAACAATTATATGAGCCTCCCAACTTCTATTATTGCCCCCCCTCTTTATTTATTTGCATGAATTGACCCTCCTGTCACTATGAAATTTTGCTTTCATACTTCCTCTTCACCCCATTTCAATATTCTCTTCTTAATAATACCGTTAACTTCTCCATCAAATAGCACATGAACCATAAATAGACTCAATGGCTCCTATCTTGGGTCATAAATCAATAATATATTCTCATTTGGTTGTAGTCAATTTTCTTTTATGCTCTTCTCAGATTATATTTATAACGCACTTCTAACATGTTTTATTATAGTCATAGAAAATCTCATACTTTATTAATTTTGTTTTAAAATTTAATAAAATTTCAACTCCGCTCCGAACTTATGCAAAGGAATAAGTGAGAACTTAAAAAAAAAAAAACAGTCCGAAAACAATAAATTAGAGGTATAAGGCGTTTTGAATTAACAGAACAAAAAAAATACTCCCCCCTCTTCTATAAAATAGGATTGGATGAATAACATTTTCTCGAGGCTATGGTTAAACTAATCTTTTCAGATATAAAAAGTAAAATTAGGTTTGAAAATTGAACTCCTAACTACTTATTCCATACATCCTTCTCTTCTGCTCTGAAATATTCTAACATACAAGGCGGGAAATCAAAATTCAGTTGACAGTTGAAGAGGACAAGGACTGGGCTCTGACAGATTTTCCGGGTCGGGTATCGGCCCACAGGCCCATCAGAATCGCAGAGGCACGTCACCCACTTTAGGCCATAACCGCACGGAGAGCCACTAATGTATTTAGCGGAAACTAAACCTCGTGTTAAATTTCAACGTTCGGGCTCGAGCTCAGCCCTCTGTGGTCCACGTGTCAAGTCTATTCAAACATGGCCCCGAGCACTCGTTGATCCTGTGGCTCCCAAGCTCTCATCAATAATTTCGATACTCAATAATTCAATAATTTAATTATTGGGCATAATTTAGATAAAGTGACTCTGTGGTTAATTAGTGACTGAGCAATAATTGGCTATGGCCGGCCCCATCATAAGGCGATGGGTAACTAGCAACAGCTTCCTCCGTCCATTATCATATACAGCTTCTTTCGAGTCCTAAGCAATCATGAAAATTGAGAAGCAATAAAAATATGACAAGTATTTACTATCCAGAGGAGCACCGTTACAATATTATTTGAAATTTTCAATAAATATAATTTACATATAAAAATTGATTAAATAAGGATATGTGTATATTTGAAAATTGAATGAATTATTGTTCTCATTATATATTTTGAGGTGTTGTTATTAGTGGAAATATAAATGATATGACTGATAAATTTTGAGTTCACACATCCATAGGATAACTCTTGGTTGGCTGTGGGGGGAACGACGTCGAAACTATAAGATCCTCACAATTAAGGGCATTATGGTCCGTGAGAAGTAACGAATCATGGCTCATATTCAGTTATGACCGTTAGATGTTCCATTGAACAATCATTTGATGGGGTCATTTTTGTTTGTAATTGGTTGGGTTCAGTCTACTCGCCTTATCAGAGCCCGTACTATTTGTAAATTACTTTCGATATATGTTATTCAAATTTTTAAAAAAACCTTAAACCTTATTAATTTTGCCTTAAAATTTAACAAAACTTTAATTTTACTCCTATTTAATACACACACAAACTTTCCAACTAAAAAACAATTTACACCATAATAAATTAATGGTAAAATATTACACTTATGTCAAAAATGTAAAAATAAATATGCATCCAACACTTTGACCGTATTTTATAGATACATCTAGCATTCCAATCCTTTTTTTTTAATGTATCATGCACCCTAATATTACTTTTTAGTTACATTTAGCACCCTAATTTTAAGGGTGCTAGATGTACTATAAAAATAATATTAGGGTACTAGATATACCTAAAAAATAATATCAAAACAATGAGTGCTACATTACCCAAAATTTAATAATGTGATTTATAAATAGAAAAAAAAATCTATCCATCTTATAAATAGGAATAGGAATAAGGGAAAAATAATCTATCCATCTTAAAAATAGGATTAGAAGAATAGTAATTCATGCATGGTTCAACATGTTTGTTCATTAAGGCCAAATAAACTCTAGGCATAAACTTTGAAGCAAGGGTTTCAGGTTATTTGAATTTTACTCCTGTGAGCCCAAATAACCAATATTTTTTTATTTTTTTATAACAAAGACAACAAAAGAAATATGATTGAATATGGTTTGGTACTTTGGTTAAATGTTAAATTTGTCTTGAAGTTTTTATCCAAGTACAATTGATGTTCTCAAAATTCCATTAGCACAAAGTTTTCCTTGAAGTTTCAAAATTGGTGCATTGTTACCCCCTATAACACTAATATTTGACTAATATTGACTATTAGTTGAATAACTGTGAGTACCAACGTGTAATTTTATCTCAAAAATTTGTATAAATGAATAATTTTCATCCTAAACTTTTCATTCATGCATGCAATGTTTCTTGAATTATCAATGCAACAGATATCAGGAGGAGGCATCATCTTTAAAGTTTAGCCATACAACATAGCATATCAGCACAATCAAATAAAGCAATGAAACTTGGTCACAAAGAGGTTTAACATTGAACCCACATTCATCATTACAATCACCATGTCATGTGAGGATACGCAAATTTAACTATCTGCTTTTTAGGTTTAGTTAAATATAACAAAATGAGTTAGTTTCTCACAACATGATAAACTAAGATTCTAATCCTCATTAGAAGAAGTGTTTACATTTAGTGTTCGATAATGTCTCAAAAAGAATTACCTACGATAAAAAGATACCTATATGTAGCAAAAGGGGGGGCTACCAAAAGGGGAAAAAATAGGAAGGAAGGAAGAGTGAACATGAAAAATTATGGTTAAAGATGATGTCACAAGCACACGACATCATTGGTCAAGATGTCATGTGGTCCCCACGTGCGAAACAAAAATTTTTGAGCCCATGCGGTCGGGGTCCATAGCACTATAGCAGGACCAACATCGTATAATGCTATTCAGATGCATTCAAATTCGATTAACATAGCATTTTGTAAAACATCATTTTCCAAGGATCAACTACAACGCTCATGTCCAGATAATTAACAATTAGCCATTTATAATATGCCATTTTCAGCCCAACTTAATTTTTCTTAACTATTTTATGCATTACAAACTCTTTTTCTGGGCTTAAACTTTTAGCTGGCCACGTGGCCATGCTTCCCATGCATTGTCAGATATTTGAGGAATAAATCACACAATTCATAACTGGTAAATAACGTAATATGCTATGGATTTTATAATTTACATTGACATTAACAAGGATGGCAATTCATATTAATATAACTCATTTTAAACATAAAATAAATGGAAGCCCAACAGTGATTTTCTTGAGTGAAAAGTACTCGTATCCTCACGAACAAGGCCTAGGTTCGGATCATCGCGGATGAAAATTTTTTTGTTGAGACGGCCATAACCAATTGCATTGACAATATCCGAATACAAACCAAAGTTATGAAACATAAGCTATTTACGATTCATTAACATCATAAAGCCTAGTATACATGCTATCATTGAAGCTGCTCTCCAGTGCAGCCACTGGTGAAATGTGCACATTGACAAGCTAAGGTCAAAATTATGCAATGGATAAAAAAGAACAGCTATGAAGCACTTGTACGGACAGGCAGTTTCAAATCAAGGAAATCATCTTACATCAACTTACAGGACTGTGAATCCAAACGGCACTCTACATTCGCCTCCTGACATGCCTGCCACTCGGATTAGTCGATGCTTCGGCCATCCCATCTGTTACATCTTGCCCGTATATGCTACTGCTACTCCTCTTCCTGCTCAATGTATCTTCCACCAATGCAAATGCCTCCAGCAACTCCGACAACATTGAAGGGCAGCTCTCCTTCAAGTGCATGAAGGCTTCAGACTGCATTACCACTGCACAAAATAAATTATTCAGCAAGTATTAAAGAGTGTAATTATCTGGATTACAAGGAGCATAACAATGATAGGATAACATCAAGAGTTTGAAGCAAAGTTTAAATGACACTTCACTTAGAAAATAATATAATGCCAACAACAAAAAATCCACTGACTGACTGACATGAAAACAGTTACTAGCAAAGCTAATTGACATTCTTTAGCCAAAATATGTATAAATAAATAAGAGGAGGATATTTTGGTCAATTAACATTGCACTCAAGTAAAGGGTAGTGTTTTGTTTCAAGGGAAACTTGTGTATATTTTAAAAATAGAGGAAGATTTATAAAAATCCAATCAAACTAATAGAAGGTTTTATAATTTACTCTTAATATTTGTTGCCGTTCTTTGTGCTTCATCATGCTTTTCAAATCTAATATATTTTCATGCCATTTAGTTTTCTTTGTTTAATAAGTTATGATATATATACATTTATTTATTTAGTGTACATGGAATGATACCACCAGCATACCAATTGCGTTCTCTCTTTCATCATTTCCCTTTTGTTACGTGGACTTGGAGGCCAGGAGAATGATGATTAATTCTTTATGCTATAGAAAAGACGCATAGTCTATTGGCACATTAGTCATGATTTTCACCCTTTGTTTGATTACATTAGATTTCTTTTTACTCGTCATTCACTTGTCAATTTTTCTGTGGTTTTAGGTGCTGGATTGCCCAAGGCTAGTTAATCATGTGGCTTTTGTTGTTGATATGGGGATACATTGAGTTCTTTTCATAATTTGAGAAATTTCTTGTTCCAGTTAAAAGTTCATTTATATCTTCTTTAAGCATTGGTTTTTGTACTGTTATTTAACCACAATCTCCTACGTTTAATACTTTTTTGTAAAGCTTAACGAATGTATTTTTAGGATAATTGAGGGTATGTCAGACAAAGCTTAAAAATGGGCTAAAGGGCAGGACACCTTTTCATTCCAACGTGGGTCTATGTATATTTTGAAAATAAATCATGAGAAATCAGTACAATTTACTCTAAATCTAATGCCAACAGGCATAGTAATTTGCCATAACTCGGAATTTTCACATTCCTATTCTTGGAAAAAAAGAAAGAAAGAACGAAACACACATACCTCCTAAATTTGCTGGATTTGCAACAAATTTTAAACAAGAGGCCTTAAGCTGCGGGCAGTGATGTTGCTCAGCCAGTGCAAGTGATGTTGCTACAGTGTTAGTATTGATTTCTTCACATAAAATTGATTCGCATAACACTTTCAGCCGATCAAGATTATACAGATCAGCAGCGGCCAATAGATGTTGCACCATGACAGTGTGCGAGCATGCAGGTATTGAGCCCATGACCTCATGGATGTCAGGAAGTTTATCTGTATAGATGAAGAGAAGCATTGCCTGCAAAGACATAAAAGGGTTTTCACTTGATCAACCCACTTAACATGAAAATCAGAGAGAATGGTTCACTCTGAAATTATCATAAATGGCGAGGACACATATCTTACACCACAGTCATTCAAGACTTATGCTAACTTGCTGTTTTCTTTATATAAATCCTTGCAACCTAGAAACAATAAGATGGCATAATTTCCACCCTTAGCTTCACTGTTGAAATAAGGACACAAGGGGTAAAGACCTGGAATTGTTGGGGAAACATATGAAACAACATCATGCCTCAAAGAGTGAGAGGCCAAAAATTCATTGCAATCTTTTTGGCCATAAATTGCGTCTAAGAAGAGATCTTGTTCCCAAACTCTTTTTCATTTATGGACAGACAAATATTTGTTTAGAAACACACTCATAACCAGAAATAAAGGATGAATACTAAAAATGTGTTTAACCGTTTACTGTTCAAAAGAACATAAATGGGATTTGCTAGATTTAAAAATACTACCTTGAAGATAAAAGGCTCAATATCCTCTAATACCACTTCATCCCTGCTGGGATCCCCAACAAGTCCAAAAAACTGAGCTCTAAAGACAGGAGATCGGGCAGCAAGTATCAACTTATGAGCTTTGAAGCTTTCATTCCCAACTTTAAAAACTATGTCACAACCAATTTCAGATTCTAACAATCCCTTAAAATCCTCTCCCATACCATGTTGTAGTACGATAACACTCTGCTTAGCTCCCTCAAAACGAGTTCTCACAACACCAACAGTGCAATGCATGACAAGGCAATCATCTTTCAGATACTCAGAAGTTTCCAATGCTGTTCTTCTGAAAAAACGCTTGTAACCCCTGAAATAGCAAAGAAAGGCAAATGATTAAGAAATTTCAAGCCACATCAATTTAGTGGCAAAGAACACCATATCTTCATGTTCAAAAGCATGATGAAGTTTCAACACTTAGTGGTAGCATGTTAAGGCAATTTTTGCGCTCCGGATTATAATATACAGCAGTCACAAGACACAACATATACTTTCCAACTAAAAATACATGGGATCCACTAAATCTGCTGATGCTAAGCTGTTAAAATGTCAATATCACACTAACCAAACCACAAGAGAGCATCAAATTATAAATTGTGAAAATCAAGATCACATCAGAGGAAGTTTTAAGCGTAAACTAGCCAAACCTGATCAAGCCAACCTTTAAAATGCTCTGCGACAAATTTGTTTCAAATTTGCAAAACAAGACCATAAAAAACTAGTCCAATCATACCAGTTTTCAAGAATTAGACATAAGAAAGGCTCAGTAGCATAATGCACCCAACTGAATAAAACATGTTAGTAATTAATGTCCCTTCGCTGCAGTCCAAACCAAAACTTAGAGGGCAAAATTGAAGTTCTTCATGAAAAACAACAAAATTCTAATACATCTCAAACTCTACAGACACTATTCTGCCTCGAATCTAATTCCTGGTAGCAGGGAAGTGATCGACTTAATTTAAATCATGACCCACAAATTTCCAAGATGAAAATGCAACCCGAAAGAAAATGAAAATAAGTAGAATTTATACCACATGCTGCCTCTATACTTCAACGTATAAGGTCCACTCTCCAACGGGCGATCAAAATGACTATGGACTTTATCGTTGCCTTTCCCACTCTGGTCAACCAAAGTCAACTTGAACAAAGCCCTGACATCAGTTCCCTCGCTCGCCAAGGCTATAAAAACCGAAACATACATGGAATTATCCTCTGGGTTCTTCCCATCAGGGTAGAAATAAATTGCCCAATCGTAGCCACCAACACTAAATGTGTCGCTCGTTATATACCTCCCAGCACCCATCCCTTTGGCCAAAGAATACCCCTTTATGATAAATTGGTGCGACCCATTAACTGTTTCGCTAATTGACAGTGAAACTGAGGCCGAACCCGATTCTGAGAAGGGCTTGAAGTCACCCATTTTCAAACCAATTTAAAGGCTCCCAGGGGTTTTAGGGACATCATGAACACGAATAAAACCCAAGAGGGCAATAAATGAACCGTTTGGATGAAAAATGAAGAAACTGCAAAGATGGCGAAACCTGATTGTGGTTCAGAGAATGGAAGGTAAGGGAACAATTAACGAGACAGAATGAGACGGTGAGCGAGTACTGTGCCCGCGAAGGAAGATCAGGGCATTATGGCGTGATAAGCCAGTCTTACGATTCAGCGGTGTTTGGAACATCAAAAGTATTTTTAACAACACTTTTATGCAAACTGTGGCAAATTTCTTCGTTTTGTCAAAATCTTCGTTCATTTATTTTAAAAGTATCTTGACAGAAATCAAATTATAATTTTAAAAATAATTTTATGATATATAAAATAAATATGTAAAAAAACTTGTCAGTTTTTGAAAAAAAGGAAAATCCTAATTAAATCTATCTAAAATAATGAAATTCCAATTAAGGCTTATACTTTTAACAAATTTCTAATTAGGCTAAGAGACCTTATTAGAAATTTTCAAATGTTGCTAAAAGACCGGAATACCTCTTTGTAATAAAAAAGAAAAATAGAATGTAGGTGTAAATCTAATTTTAGTTTTAATTATTCTAGTAGATTTACTAATGAGGACGCGGTCTTTCTTAGATTTTATGTCAAAGGTGTGTTTTGTAATTATGAACCTTATGTCAACTCTAGAATTTATAGCATTTTATTTTTTTATATAATAAAAATTTGATATTGAATAAATGTTAAAGACCGGAAAATTGAAGATGAATTAATGAGTCTCACTGTAAGTTGTGAAATAGTAAAATTAATTTTGATAGATATTCAAGAATTCCATGAATCTTTGATTTGGTCTTTTTCTCACAAAAAAAAAATCTTTGATCTTGTTAATCTTTTACATTTGAAATCGTAAAATTTTTATTAGTTCCCATATTTTTGCAATTCTATAGATATCTAGAAATTATATATTTTTTTATCTTGAATTTTCAATTATTTTTTATGGGCTATAATCGTTATTTTTCTTTTTTTGTTTTTTATATGATAATGTTTTTGGCCAAATTTTCATGTGATAATGTTTAAAGAAAAAAACATGTTAGTTAAATTCAATTAAAAGAATTAAAATTAAAATTAGGCTTTTTAATTATGAAGGGCATTTTGGTCTTTTAGCAACATTTAGAAATTCCTAGTTAGGCCTCTTGGCCTAATTAAGAATTTGTAAAAGTGTAGGCTTAAATTAGCATTTTGCTATTTCAAATGGATTTAATTAGAATTTTTCCTTAAAAAAATTGCTTTTTAAAAACATTTTTAGGGTGTTCCAAATACTCCTTCATATACCGTAAAATTACTTTTAAAATTATAATTTGGTTTTCATCTAAACATCCCTTTAATTTAGATAAAAATCATTTCTCAAAAATATTTTCATATAATTCGAGAATATTTTTAAAATCATAGTTTAGTTTGCACCCAACAAATCTCATTACCCCATCACATCATACATAATATAAAAATTGTAATAAATGGCTTTACTTATGAAAAACTGTATTAATAATTAATAATACAACTTACTGTTCTCAAAACATTCTTTAATATGTATAATGAATATGTATATTTTGGGAAAAAATATAAGTTTAGAAGAAAAATAAATAAATTCAACTCTTATATTTAAAATCAAAGTAAATATCCCAACCAACTCATATTTGGCATAAGAGAGAATATTGGGAAAAAGATATTAAAATACCCTCAAAAATGCTAAAAAGCAAATTATGATAGATAAATTTTAAAATTTCATATCAAACTCTTGTATTATTTTGAAATTTTAAAATATTATGAAATGACAACACCGCTCTTATTCTCAATAACTATTTTCATATAATTATTAATTACTCTAGTTTTATTATTGACTATTTTTATTTTCAAAGTTCCGATTATTACTTTTGTATAACTATTGACTAAATAAGAATAGTAAATAACTAAATAAAAAGTAGTTACTAGATCTCCAACAAGACTTCATGTATTTTTTTGAATTTTTGAAACAAAAATAGTTAATAGCAAAACTAGAGTAGTCAATAGTTAGATAAGCGTAGTTATCAAATTTTTAACAATAAAAGTAGTCAATCACAATCCTAGAGTAGTTATTGAAGTTTTAAAAATAAATGTAATCAATAACTAAAAAAGTAATCAATATATCAGAAAGAGTAGTCATCAGATTTTCAGTGACATGTCTGCAGAGCTTCGATGGCCAGCCATCAGCAGGGTCATCGACACCGAAGCTCCAATGGCTAGAAACAAGCTAAGAGTGTTGAGGTGATAATATTTGGAGAAAAAAGTAGTGAAGGGCATTGACGTAATTTTGTAAGATTTGAAAATTTCAAAATAGTACAAGGAGTCTGAATTAAAATTTTGAAATTTACTCACATTGATTTATTCTTTAACAATTTTTAGAATATTTTATTATCCTTCTTTTAGGCTCTATAATAACAATGATAATCATTATCATGGTTTAATTTTTTGTCAATAATATAAAACCATAAATTATCTTTATAAATAAAGTAAAAAGTATTTGGAACCCTTAAAAATATTTTAAATCAAGATAAAATTCTTTTCACATACTTATTTTATTTTTCAAACAGAAATATAAAAATCCCAATAGAAGAATATAATTTTGCAATTTAAAAGAATACTATGATAACAATTTGAGTTATTCATCTACACTCTGAAACTATTATACAAAAATAATAGGAAAAATAAATTTGGAGGTCCTTATAATTTACCTCAATTTTGAATTAGGTCCCTACACTTTTTTTCTTTTTATTGACTCCTTAAACTTCCCACCATTAGATATGTTAATCCTTGCTGTTAAATAAGTGCTAACACCGCTAATAATTGCCGTTAACATGCATTGATCCATGATCCATCACCCACATTTGAACTATAGCCTTCATCATTGTCCAGGTTGACCCGGTTTCGAGCCTCCAGTGATTGAGCTTTCCCTTGCTCACACTGGAGTAACTCACAAAAGAGTTTGCTAGCACACTTCCGCCTTCTTCTGTTCACACTAATGACTGCACCTTGACCCTTCAATTACTACACTACCCCTTACCTTCTACTCCCATTTTGTTTTTCTCTCTCCTTCCTCTTCCATCACTACCTTCTCTTTGTCTTCATCCTTAATTTTCTTCTTCTTGTTATTATATAAAAATATATTGATAAGAAGCTCACTAGAAATTGTTGAAACCAATATCACAATGAACTATAACATATTGCAATATCAAGCTGTTGATTCAAGCAAAACAAGAGAAAGAAAAGAAAAATAAAAATTAGAGGCATGCATAGATCAAAAGCAAATAACAAATAAAGAATCTGAAAATTAATCAAGTTGATAAGAGAAATTAGAAATTTGCAAAATGAAAATAATTACTTGGTACTTGTAAAGTCATAAAGCTTGCCCCTATTTTTGTAATAGAAAAACAGAGTTCTTTTGAGACATTGATATCTGCGGGCAATGGAACAAATGCAACATTGTTATAGTTACTGCTTTTCAAATTTCTCCAATAAGGAGAACTATAATTGAAGGTGGGATGTTTGTATTAGTATCATGCGTAGGAGCAAAGCACATATTGTCAGATTGAGAAAGGCCACTTGGATGATTAAGAGAATTTCATGAAAATCATCAACTTCATGAGTGTTATTATTATATCTAGATTTCCATTATATTAAGTACTATCTCTAAAGGTGTTTTCCTTGTGTTTTGAAGGGGTACTATATTGTTAAAACCTCTTCGTGGAGATGAATTAAAAAATAAACATATTAAGAATGGCGACAATACGCTCTAAACGCGATGAACCAGGAGGAACGAACAATGATGCCAAAACTTCAAGAACTAGGAAAAAGTTTAGACCTTGGCAAACTAAAGATCAGAAAGAACAGAGTTTGGAAAAGTAACGTGGGGGAAAACCCTTCGTTTAAGGACAAACTGATGGGTTTTGACCCAAGCTTCGTGTCCAAGGATACCAGGGGCTGTAGCATCTTCGACGATGCCTAGAATGATTACATGAACAACCTGAAGGATTTCTTCTGTGATGTCTTGCCTGAGAACAACCCAAGGAGGCGAAAGGATTTGGGGAGGAGGATGATGAAGATTTTCCTCAGTTAAAGATCTCGAAGGAGGAGTATGAGTTATGATGTGCCCCATGGAGGAAATCCTTAATAGTGCATCTACTGGGTAAATTTGTGCTAATATGGGTCATGCGATCTGGATTGGAAAGCCTATAGAAAACTACCAAGCCGTTCATGGCAAGAGATATAGATAGCGGCTTTTTTGTCATGTCTTTTGATGACGAAGTTGATATGGAAGCCATTTATCAGGAAGGACTATGGATGCTCGGAAATAGATATATTGTGATGCAGCACTGGAGATAGAATTTTGATCCTCGAAAGGTGGAATTGCAAAAGAAGATCGCTGGTTGGGTGCAGATTCCTCTCTACTATTGTAATTTTTGAACGTAACTAGCCTCCAAAGGATAGGATCTCTCATTGGCAAAACGTTGAAAGTGGATCGCATTACGTACACCAGCAAAAGGGGACGATATGCCTAAATATGCATGGAATCGGATCTAAACAAACAATTAAAATCAGGAATCACCATCTTTGGCACAAGACGCTATGTGGAATATGGGGGACTCCATTTAATATGCTTTTCTTATGGAATTTATGGTCATCACAAGGATGTATGCCCAGAGAAAGAAAAGAAGAAGGAGTACAACATGAGCACACAACAGGACATTGGAATGCAACATCATGCTAATATAGAGACCCACTGACATCAAACTCTGCAGAAACACATAAGATTGGAATAACATCCCAGAACAAGTTTGACAAAGTACGACTGACTGGACAATCAAACAGAAACAACATAGCTCTCGATGCAGGAAGAGAATAGTGAGGAACCCCATAGTGAGAAGTGGGGAAGAGATAATCCTATGAGCTTGAAGGTTACTAGTGTATCACCAGCAACGCCGTCACCAGAGGTCTTTGGTATGTGGAACTTGGTTCAGCGACCAAGAAGTAGTATTATTGGAAACTCCACAAGTGGGGGAGTAATGAATGCATGAATGAAGAGAATCTAGCATTTTGAAAAGGAAATTGGATCAGAAAAGGATCCCAAGGGGAATAAAGGTGATATA